ACACACACACACACACACACACACACACACACACACACACACACATTGTATGTCAGATGATTCTCTATAGTCTATCCATAAATTTGTGAGAAGTCTACCAAAATTAAATCAAAAAATTCTATTAAAATACATACTTTTCATAATTACTTAGCTTATGACACAGGAGATACTCTAATATCCCTCCCATTTCTTCTCTCCTCCCCATTTTCATGCCATCATGCCAGTTTGGGTCATTTTTTCTCTTCAGTGTAGCTATATGAAGCTGTATGATGGGTCTCCTGCTGCCTAACCCATGTACTGTCATGTAAACTATCCAGAAGCAGGATCTAGAATTGTCATTCATTTTATCTGCAAACATCTCCTACAGCTTTCCATGGCTGGGGTCTCCCAGCTGAGCCTAAACACCCAAAAGTTGCATGATCTGCCGGGATCAATCACTACATCTTTCATTTATATTCAACCACATTCATTTTCCATTTTTGTTGTAGCATGTACACAAACAAAAATTGAAAATGAATGTGGCTGAATTTGTGATTTATAACAAATAAATTGCTTATAATTTATAAATAAATATACATACATCTATGCTGCATGTTTTTTTTTTAAGCAAATGAGTCATGCAATCAATAAATTGTACAGGCTACTAGTTTGTAAATAAAGTCCAAAGTCTCTGGTATACAACAGCCCCTACAAACTGCCTGAAATTTATACATCCAATCTTGTTTCTCCTCAATCATTTTCATTTACCTTCCATTCAGCTAAAACAGGATTACTTGTGTTTCTCCCCGAAGTGCTCAGAATTCTCTAAAAATGTATGCCTTTGTTCTTGCTGTCCTCTTTACCTTCAAACCTTTCTTTCCTGTCATTATGTGTCCAAACTCTCAAGTTCAGTTCAAATTTCCCTCTACAAAGCTTCCCTAATCCTATCCCTGCTGGAGGCCAGAAGGGTCTGAGTATCCATGGTGCTTTATCAGTACCTCCCCCAGGACAGTGTGACTTTCTGCCCTGTGTCATTCAGGCTCATGTCTAATCTCATTGTTGGGTGGCAAACTCCCTCAGGTCAGCATCTGTCATGGATACCTTTTCCCAGCTCACATTTCCTAGATTTCTGCAGATGTAAGTGACAGAGTCAATGTCACCTGGTATGTTATTCAAATGCAGTACGAAAACAAAAATACTACAAACAAAAGTGCTACTGTGAGCCATTAATCTTTCATAGAATATTTAAAATTTCATAGTAAGTCACATCTCCTCTATGCATTTGCTCTTCTAGGAAAGGCATCAGTAAATACCTCTATTTGTTCTGCTACGGGCTGTTCAAACACATTTGCCAGTTTCTGCAGAATGATGTATTTGTTGTCGGCCAGTGATGTAAACAGCACTTTCAGATCATTCTAAGGAAGAAGGCAACAGGAAGACTCAAAATGAGTAACAGGGAATTCAAAATACTTGTAAACATAACAGAGATTCTTAGAAATAATATAGAGGCATAAAAGTTTAATTTACAGGAGAACCAATACTGTGCTATGGGAAAGTAAAAGGAACTGGTAACAACTCACTTATGTGCTAGAACTGACTCCTGAAGAATTTGTTACCCAAAGTATTTTCTACGTAGTAAAAATGAAGTTGAAGCATACATGTAAAAAGCAATACTTGTCACCCTAATCTCATTACATCTGAAATAAATGAGTACATTCAAACACTGCACGGAAATATTATGTTAATGGCTCTTATCTAGAGAAATAACCTATAGGTATTATCCTGGTTTGGAAACAGTATGATTCTTAAGAATCCTACGATTTCCATTTTGCTCTCTCTTCTGCTCTCCTCCCTCCCTCAGTTTCTTCTTCTGTCTTTGAAGAATTTGCACAAGCTCTAAAAAAGCCATTCAGAAATTTAAAAAATAATTATCATCTATGATGACCAAAAACATGTGAAGAGACAACACAGAAATATCTTGGTAGGTATTTTGTTCAAAAATATTACTCATTTAAATGTCCAAATATATTTATATTGAGTTAGATTTGTACAAAAAGGAGATAACTATTAGAATTTTGGATGAATAATAAATTCAAAGAATATTTAAACTGTAAAAAAAAATTGGCCAGGTGCAGTGGTTTACCTCTGTAATACCAGAATTTCTGGTGTCTGAGGCAGATCACTTAAGGCCAGGAGTTCAAGATCAGCCTGGTCAACACAGTGCATCTGGTATCCACAAAAAGGTATTTTTAAAAAAGGTGGACACAGTGGCATGCCTGTAGTCCTATCGATTCAGGAAGCTGAAGCGGAAGGATCCCCTGGGTCCAGGAGTTTGAGGTTGCAGTTAGCTCTGATCGTGCCACTACACACCAGCCTGGGTGACAGAGTGAGACCCTGTCTCAAAAAAAAATTACCAAAATATTTAATTTTTTTCTCTGAAATATCAACAAATAAGTTCTATTTCATAATAGTCAGCAAATATATATTCATCAGAGGTTAAAGCTCAACTCATGACATCTTCACCAGGGGCTAATCATGCAACATGCAAACATTCTAACTGTCTAATGAGAAGGATAATCGCAACAAGGAAGAAAAACATCTATAAGGACATGTGAAGGCTTTATCATGCAAATGCAGAGCTAAAAAGCAAAATAATGGGTGCATTATACAGTAAAAAATATAAAATTGAAAATATAATGCTGAACATGAGAACTAGAATAGTTACCACTAACCAAAACTCAAACCAATCTGCAAGCCTAGTGGCCTAAATACGAAATGTGAAATGATAATAACAGCTCTGGAAAAAATACTAGAAACAATAGTTTTACATATGAGTTACTAGGTCTGTATCATTCAGCTGTGTTCAGGGTAAGGTCATGTGGGCCATTAAAACTGTCACATATTTATCTGTTTTTAGTGTTTTTTTTCTTTGCGTGTGTGTGTGTGTGTGTGTGTGTGTGTGTGTGTCTGTGTGTGACACAGTTTTGCTCTTGTTGCCCAGGCTGGAGTGCAATGGCATGATCTCGGCTCACCGCAACTTCTGCCTCCTGGGTTCCAGCGATTCTAGTGCCTCAGCCTCCTGAGTAGTTGGGATTACAGGCGCTGACTACCACGCCCGGCTAATTTTTATTTATTTTTTTGTATTTTTAGTAGAGAAGGGGTTTCACCATGTTGGCCAGGCTGGTCTTGAACTCCTGACCTCAGGTGATCCACCTGCCCGGTCTCCCAAAGTGCCAGGATTACAGGCATGAGCCACCATGCCCAGCCATTTTTATCTGTTTTTAAGCCTAGAAAAAGATGTCGTGCATTCATCTGAACAGAAGCCTGCATTATCTACATATGTATGTATAAGGACATTGGTCCATTTAATCTAAATGAGTGCCTCCCAGGTTCATGCAATTCTTCTGCCTCACCCTCCCAAGTAGCTGGGACTACAGGCGCACACTGCCATACTTGGCTAATTTTCTGTATTTTAGTAGAGACTGGGTTTTACTGTGCTGCCCATCTGGTCACAAACTCCTGAGCTCAGGCAATCTGCCCACCTCAGCCTCCTAAAGTGCTGGGATTACAGACATGAGCTCCAGTCCCATTTTTGTTTTCAATGGCATATTTTCTCTCTTAACTATGTTCTACTCAGGGTAATAGGAAACACAGAGTTCACATTTCTGCAAGTCAGACTAATTATTGGGAGAGACTAGTCAAGAAGACAGTAAAGCAGAGAATATGACTGATTTTAAAATTACTAAATGAAAACTTATGAGGTGCTAGTGAATCACATGGATATTGATATTTTCTTAAAAGTAAAAATGCAAAGAATGTAACTTTTTGTATTATTACACTTGTGATAGACAGGACAGTTAAGGTATCTCTATATTAAAAACATAAAATACATCATTGTTTTTCTTATAGTCTCTGGAATTATCGGCAGGGCAAAAAAGGGGCAGGATTCTAGTCATTGAGAAACAGATTTGTAGAAAGTTTCAAGCTTTAAAATCAGTTGTGCCCAGGCACAGTGGCTCACATCTGTAATCCCAGCACTTTGGGAGGTGGAGGCTGAGATTGCCCCATTGCACTCCAGCCTGGACAACAAGAGCAAAAGCCACTCTCAAATAAATAAATAAATAAATAATAAAATAAATAAAATCAGTTGTGTTGCCTCACTCGTTCATTAAAGAATTCTTTCAGGCCGGGTGCGGTGGCTCATGCCTGTACTCCTATTGTTGGGGGGTGGGGGGGGGGGGGGGGGGGGGGGTGGATCACAAGGTCACGAGTTCAAGACCAGCCTGGCCAATATGGTGAAATCCTGTCTCTACGAAAAAAAATACAAAAAATTAGCCGGGCATGGTAGCGCATGCCTGTAGTCCCTGCTACTTAGGAGGCTGAGGCAGGAAAATCGCTGGAACCTGGGAAGCAGGGGTTGCAGTGAGGTGAGATCACATCATTGCATTCCAGCCTGGGCAGCAGAGGGAGACTCCATCTCAAAAAAAAAAAGAATTCTTTCATTCATTTTCCAATTTTTAAAATAATTTGAAATACACAATCATATATTTGGGGAATTTATTTGAGGTTACATCCATGGGTAAAATTTTTAAGAATACAGGATGATTCATAATTGTCTTTCTTGTGATTCCACATATGTAACATACATCTAAGTAACATTTATGCATCCTTCCAAATAGTCTTTTTGGTATAGAATAATGTTAGCAGTCTGGCAAAAGCTAATCCTCAAACGTTAAATGCAGAATGAAGGCATGCCCTTCCAGTAACTGCTGAGCAGTGACAGCATACCAGGTGTTTGGTGCAAAGTAAAAAAAAGGAAAAAATAAAAGTTTGTGACTTGACCTTTAATTATGTTAACATAGGAAACATTCTCTCAATTAAGTTGGAACACAAATACTTTGAAATGTCTTTCAGTTCGTGAGCTGGCCACCAACACATAGAAACTTGTTGGCAGAAGAAAAATAGAGAACGTGATTCAAAGCGAATTCCATGATTCCATGTTCTTCTCTTAGATCCTTAAAACAAAATAAGTTCCAGAGCATTCACGCTTAATTCGTATTTTGCTGTGCCTGGTGATAATTACTGATAAAATTTTAAAGTATGAAAGTACTAAAGACACTAAATGCAATTCACAAAAAATATGGGGAATGAGAGCAAGAGGGACTGACTGCTGAGGAATTTGGGGATTCTGACTTGAGCATCTGAGGGGCAGTAACTAACTGTGCCACTGACTCACAGACAAGACTGGGTTGCTGGTGGCAGCATTAACTGGCAAAGGACATTGGATAAAATTTAAGAGATTGAGCTGGGCACTGTGGTTCACATCTGTAATCCCAGCACTTTGGGAGGCTGGGGTGGGCAGACCACTTGAGGTCAGGAGATCGAGAGCATCCTGGTCAACATGGTGAAAGCCCATGTCTACCAAAATACAAAAAAAAAAAAAAAAAAAAAAAAAAGAGAAAAACTAGCTGGGCATGGTGGCATGTGCCTGTAGTTCCAACTACTTGGGAGGCTGAGGCAAGAGAATCACTGAACCGAGGAGGTAGAGGTTGTAGTGAGCCAAGATCTCACGCCACTGCACTCCATCCTGGCAACAGAGCTAGACTCTGCCAAAAAAAAAAAAAAAAAAAAAAAAATACCGTTTTGGAAAAAAAGACTCTGCTGAAGGCTCACATTCTCCATCTCTCCTGCGATCACCCTAATATGGTAAAATACAGAAAATATTCTTTGAGTAAAATCCTGCCTTTAGTTTTTAATGGTTGAGTAACACTGAAGTAATTTAATCTTTCTCTTGGTTTTTGATCCTATATCTCTTATAATACTACTGTGAATAGCAATAACAGTAACAAAATTTGCTGAGTGCTTACTATGTATCAGGCACTGTTCAGAGTATTTTAAACACATCTTAACTCACTTCATCCTCACCACAGTCTATGAGGCAATTAATATGAGTATGATTTGATAGTTGAGGATATCAAGGTTCAGGAAAGTCAACTGCTAAAGTTACACAGCAGTAAGTGACAAAGCCAGAGTTCGAACCCAGGCTGTTAGCTTTGGAGACTACATTTTCAATTTTTACTGCTCTGACTTTGCAAAATTAATATTAGAATAATGTTTGCAGGATGTTGCAAAAAATATTAGAAAACATTTTGTGAATAAAAAAATGAAACTCGAATGTTTGTGATAGTTTTACTCCGTGGTTTTAAGAATGTAGACTGCCAGAAGGGAGTGGAAATTTGTGCCTCTAAATGAATGTCTAGAAAATTCTGTGTTTCTTGGCTAATGCTACATTTATTTGACATTTTGTAGGATTTTTTTTTTTTTTTTTTTTTTTTGCAAATCAAAATTCTACATCAAACTCTTGGCCCTAACGACATGTCTCTATTTTATAAATCTTCCATGTTGTTTAAAAATAACATTCAATTAGCACTTAAGTATTCCCAAAAGGTGTTTTTTATTAGGAATGAAAAATCAGCACTAAAAGTTTATCAGCAGGTTTTGCATTTGTTCCAGTATATAGTCATAGGAAAAGTTTCCTAAGCATGCAATAAGAATTCTAATATGGGGGCCAGGTGCAGTGGCTCACGCCTGTAATCCTAGCACTTTGGGAGGCCGAGGCCAGCAGATTACCTGTGGTTGGGAGCTCAAGACCAGCCTGGCCAACATTGTGAAAATAGAAAAATCTCTACTAAAAATACAAAAAATAAGCCGGGCGCAGTGATGCGCAGTTGTAATCCCAGCTACTCTGGAGGCTGAGGCAGAAGAATCGCTTGAACCCGGGAGACAGAGGTTGCGGTAAGCCGAAATCACACCACTGCACTCTAGCCTGGGCTACAGAGTGAGACTGCATCTCAAACTCTACCTGTGTTAAAAAAAAAAGAATTCTAATATGGGGCTAACAGGCACTAAATCTGATGAGTTAGGATTGGAAAGTAATGTAATACATTTTAACACAGGTAGAGTAGTTAGACCACAGCCACTTTCAAAGACTCTTAGGTACCAGAGTCTATGGCCCTTTCTATATTCCAACATTTTCTGCATATTCTTTTTTTTTTTTTTTTTATAGTAGAGACAGGGTTTCACCATGTTGTCCAGGCTGGTCTCAAACTCCTGACTTCAAATGATCCACCTGCCTTGGTCTCCCAAAATGTGAGGATCACAGGTGTGAAGCACTGCACCTGGCCATTTTCTGTGTATTGTTTGGCAATGTTTTTAAACTCCACTATTACCAACTAAAAATTATAATCAGCCATAAATTTGACTTTTATTGATTAAATTTATAATTCTATTCAGTCCTTAGCTTGAAGTGGGTGGTTTTCTCAACATTCCTTTTCTAGGAGCATAAAATCTTTAGTTTCTAATTCTTTAATTCAACCTTCTTCATTTTCTACAATGCTCTTGTTCTTCACGATGCATTTAAAAAAATAACAACCAAGTTTGTAACACAGATTTGTGACTGACTACTATTGAATATCTAGAGAATGGTCAAGTATCCTTTGATAATGTTTTACTTACTTGGAAATTTAGTATTTGCTGAAGTCTTTCTTTCATCTGATGACATCGTTGATTCACTACTGAGTCTAGCAAGGATAACCTGCCCAAGAGACAACCCAAAGTATCTTCAATAACATCTCGATTATCACCATTCTCAGGAAAAGCTTGGGAAAACAAGTGCTTGTTCTTATCCATTTCTTCAGACATTTCCTTAATATCTTTGGCAAGAATCTAGAGGTAATAAAAGAGCATTTTTCAGTGTTTATATATGTGAATTGATCTGCAAAGCAAGTTATTTTCTCATAGAGAGTCAACTAAATCTCTCTGACTGCTTAGTAATAATTAGACCTAAGACAACTTGAACCTCTTTCAAATACTTCTATACATTTTAGGCAAGTTGCTTTTGAAGAGATTTCTCTCAGGGACTTTACCTCATTCACTAATCATAACGAGCACCGTAAAGTGCTATTTACGAATTTGGTGCTTTTTTAAAGCATGTGTTTCATGTTTGGAGGATCTGTGATACATAACAGTGCTTCTACAAAGTTTCCCATTTCTCCCTCTTACATACACAAAACAAAGAATGAAAATACAAAATATAAATATCGCTGAGAGGTTTCTGCATTTAAGCAATTATGTTCTGCATTATTAGATTTGATTTATGTCTGACTTTCTTTATGCATAAAATTAATTATCCTATCAAAATGTCAAGTGCTTTGTAATGTTATACACGCACAGGCAGGAACTACAAACTTACCTCTTGGTTGAAGAGACAAGTTTCTGTTTCTTCTGGCAAAAGCGCTGTGGCAACAAATAAATGTTCTTCAACATCATCCAACCAAGTAGAGGTAGCTGAGACCCCATCATACAACTTCTGCTCCAAGTGTATACTCTGCCTCTTTGTCCCTCCACTCTGGGAAACACACAACAGGGACAAATAATCAATTACAGCATTTTGAGAATCCAGAAAAAATATCAGGATGGAGCCGGGCACAGTGGCTCACACCTGTAACCTGAACATTTTGGGAAGCCAAGGCAGGCAGATCAGTTGAGGTCAGGAGTTCAAGACCGACCTGGCCAATATGGTGAAACCCCATCTCTACTAAAAAATACAAAAATTAGCCAGGCATGGTAGCATGTGCCTGTAGTTCCAGCTTCTTGGGAGGCTAAACCACTTAAATCCAGGAGGAAGAGGTTGCAGTGAGCCCAGATTGTGCCACTGCATACCAGCCTGGTTGACAGAGCAAAACTCTGCCTGGAAAAAAAAAGAAAGAAAGAAAGAAAAAGAAACAGGATGAGACACCAGGGTCTAGTGGCTCTTTGTTTCCACACTCATCACTAGTGTTGGGTCTCAATTCATGCTCGGGGTGGATGGAACAGCCTCACAGAGGCCAGGTAAATCAATACAAGCAAAACAAGATTCTTATAAACCAAGCCAAACACACTGAAAACACGGCCCTACCTGGGATGAAACCTCCTCGAAGGCTTGGTTCAGGCCATCCAGCAAAGATGTAACTGCAGATTTATCTTGGGTTGGCACGTCCCCTTTGTACAGTGGCACACCAGACAAGAGTCGATTCGGCCTGCTATAGAGCTGTAGACAAACAAGGACTGCTTGTTGAAGAGCACATGCGTGATGTCCCCGCTTTCTCATTTGGAAATGCACACTGAAATAGATGCTGGAAAAGCTGTCCATACCAAAATTTCTTCTAGAGAAATATAACTTCTACAGCATTACATGTCCACTGAACACAGTGGCCAGATGCATTAGCGTCAATGTTTCCATGGATGGATTTTTTTTTTAAAGCAATGGAAAAAAGATTCTTTATTTTATAAAATGTTTTATTACACAGGAGGAGGAAAAAATGTTTTATTACACAGGAGGGCAAATATAGTTAACAATAACATTTCATATTTCAAAATAGCTAGAAGAGAGGATTTTGAATGTTCTCCACAAAGAAGTGATAAATGTTTGAGATGATGAGCCTGCTAATTACCCTGACTTGATCATTACATGCTGTATACATGTATCAAAACATCACGCTGTGTACCAGAAATATGTACAAATATTATGTGTCAGTTAAAAATAAAATAAAACAGGCCAGCCACTATGGCTCAGGCCTTTAATTCCAGTACTTTGGGAGGCTGAGGTGGGCAGATGATTTTAAGCCAGGAGTTCAAGACTGGCCTGGCCAACATAGTGAAACCCTGTTTCTACTAAAAATACAAAAATTAGCTGGGTGTGGTGGCACATGCCTATAATCCCAGCAATTCAGGTGACTGAGGCACGAGAATCGCTTGAGCCCAGAGGCAGAAATTGCACTCCAGCCTGGGCAACAGAGCAAGTCCCTGCTTCAAAAAAAAAAAAAAAAAAAAAAAAAAAAGAAAGAAAGAAAAAAAAAGGTGACACTATAAAAAAAGAAAATTAAATTAAAAGGTGTCTTGCAAATTTTATGAAATAAATGACATTAAGACATAAGTAAATTAGAAACAGAAAAGATAACAGACATTGCTGAAAATGGAATCACTGACAGAGAAAGCTTGCAATAATCAGATGAAAAGTGAATGCAAATTTTAAAAAGCAAAGATCAGTACAACCAAAAATAAATCAATAAGTATAGAAAAAAGATGATCTAACACAAGGATAATTGATGTCCCTGAAGCAGAGATATAATAAATATAGCATAAAATACATCTAAATCATACCAAAAAATCTCTAAAATGAATAAAAAAGCAAACCTTGATTCTTAAATATTAAAAAAAGCACATTGTGTTATAAGAAAAATATGATAGCAGAAAAGTCAACATCAGACATAGCCTAGATAAGCTGTTGAAACTTGAAGGACACTAAATCATTCTTCTGGTATCCATACAAAGAACAAAAAAAAATAATAAGGGGAAAAATAATAAACTGATGTTAGATTTTTCTAAGGCTTCATTCAATGCCAGAAGATGAAAACCAATATAGATACAAATTCTAAAGGGATGACAGAAAAATCTCCATCAAATACAGAGTCAACTAACTGATATTCCCAAACAAGAAAGAACCTGAGTTTTCCTAAAAAAGTTTCTTAACAATGGAATTAATACCTGAGAACTGGATCAAAATAAAAAATGTAGGAATTAAAGAGATATCATAAAGGGATTGGCTATGAGGACTGATGATTTAAAGATTAAATTGATTTACAGAATATGGGAATTGTTACAATTGTTCTTTTTCATCTTTGTATTTGGCGGCATTATGTGAGTTATTAAAATTAATGCATGTGGTTTTTCAAAATAATAGAGTAATTTTTCTTAAATCAACTAATTAAATAAGAAAGATGTTAGCAATCATAAAAATATCTTATCACAGCTTTCCTCTCAATTTTTCTTCTCAGTTTTAGCAGTGCCTATTGTGAAATAATCCATCCTAAATACCAGACCTAGACTGATCTCTTTGCTTTCAATACTAACCCTATCTCCCTTAAACTCTTTTAGGTAAAAATATGGCTCCCCAATAAGGGCAATGATATGGTCTAGCATTCAAATGGGTGACAATGTTTCCAATCAAACTCAGTCTCCTTTTTTTTTTTTTTGAGACAGAGTCTTGCTCTGTCATCCAGGCTAGAGTGCAGTGGGGTGATCTTGGCTCACTGCAACCTCTGCCTCCCAGGTTAAGTGATTCTCCTGTCTCAGCCTCCTGAACAGCTGGGATTACAGGCATGTACCACGTCCAGCTAATTTTTGTATTTTTAGTAGAGACAGAGTTTTCCCATGTTGGCCAGGCTGGTCTCTAACTCCTGACCTCAGGTGATCCACCTGCCTCAGCCTCCCAAAGTGCTGGGATTACAGGCGTAAGCCGCTGTACCCAGCCATCAATTTCTTTTGACTTTTCAAAATACCTCCTCACCTTTCAGTCTGCCTACTCATGATCCTGTAAATATGCCAAGCCCATTACCCATTGCAGCTGGGATATCCACCACTCAGCATCCCCTTAAAATCTGCTACTTTATGGTCAGTGCTCATGCCTATAATCCTAGCACTTTGGGAGGCCAAGGCGGGCAAATCACCTGAGGTCAGGAGTTTGAGAACAGCCTGACCAACATGGAGAAGCCCCATGTCTTTCAGAAAAAATACAAAATTAGCTGGGCATGGTGGTGCATGCCTGTAATCCCAGCTACTCAGGAGGCTGAGGCAGGAGAATCGCTTGAACCAGGGAGGTGGAGGTTGTGGTGAGCTGAGATCGCACCATTGTACTCTATCCTGGTCAACTTGAGCAAAACTCCATCTCAAAAAAGAAAAAAAAAATCTGCTACTTTAAGTTCCACACCTATTATAGCAACTTTTGGCTATTTTTTCTTAACCTTTGTTTCCTTTGAATTCCTACTTATGGATCCTATCACAGTTGTCTAATTTTTTAAAGACATGTATGAGCTATTTCCTTATTTGGGTTATAGGTTCCCAGAAGCAGGAGCTGTATTTGACCCTGAAGCCAAGTGGGTTGCTGTGCATGGAAGCACTAAATACACTGGAAGTGAGCAGATTTTTAAAAATTGCTCTAAGAGGTTAGTGCCTTTTGACCTAGTGAACTTTAGGCCAAAATGTGCCTGTTCTTACACATGAAAATAATAAGTATTTCTAGGGTGCAAAACTGCCATTAAGGTAGTATGAAAGAGGAGGGACTTAGGTAACAGATAGGTCTGCCTCCTGATTCCAGATTCACTCTTCTTAATCCCAAGACCCTCCGAAAGTGTCCAACCTCGCCAAGCCTGTTTCTAGGTCTTGACGAGGTTGGAGATAACCTTGACCTCACCACAACATTGCTAGCTATGTTAACATATAAAACTCAAGATGGGTTCATTATAAGATCACTCTCTTTCTTCCTGGAAACTGAGAGCTAAATTGCTTCTTCCCTTCCTTTCCTTACACCTTTTCACACCACAGAAAGGAAAACAATCTATGAGGCACTTTGTGCAAATGACCAGTGATTGCGGAAACAAAGCACTCAGATGCAAAAATGTCATTAAAAATGAACATTCAATGATTTTATTTCTAATCCAAAGGCAGGTGAGACACCACATGAACCTAAACTTGAACAGTCCAGGTTTTATGGAATGTCAGTGGAGCAGGGCAAGGTTCGTTCAGTAAGTCCAGCACAGAGGATGCTGGAGTGTCAGCCCCAACTGAGAGCAAAAGCAGCTCCTGAAGATCAGAGCAAGTAATGGATGAGACCTCCTGGAGGTCTATAGATGCCGGATGACTCACACAGGTGCTTTGTGAATGGAGAGTAATAAACAAGCACGGAATCCAGAAATATCGTAGATTTCTCTAACTTAAAATAGTCAGAAGACTCCCGTCCCTGATTGAGAACTGTCCATACCTGTCCTATTCAAAGGATTTGAGGGATACTAGAACATGAAGGGAGAGCTAGTAGTCAAGTTCAGGAGATCCACATCAGAAATGAGGAATTCTAGCTAGGAGTCTGGGGGACACTTTATCAGGGATTTGAGGAAGGAAGAATTAAAAAACAGGCAGGAGGTCCACACAAAAAGTATAGGGCACCATTTTCCATGTGGTGATTCTGGGCCAACTGCCTCCAGGAATACAGTGTTGTAAGTTTCTCAGGGCAGAGCTGGTAGCTATTTCTCCAGACAGAGGTAAAGAAGCCTCCTGGCCAGAGAGGGAAAGTGAGGGGGTAGAAAGTTCAGGAAAGCATGTGCTTTTATAAAAACAGAATAGAAAGCATGGCTCTGGGCCGGGTAGGGTGGCTCACGCCTGTAATCCCAGCATTTTGGGAGGCCGAGGCAGGTGGGTCACGAGGTCAAGAGATCAAGACTTCCTGGCCAACATGGTGAAACCTCGTCTCTACTAAAAATACAAAAATTAGCTGGGTGTGGTAGCTTGTGCCTGTAGTCCCAGCTACTCGGGAGGCTGAGGGAGGAGAATCGCTTGAACCCTGGAGACGGAGGTTGCAGTGAGCCGAGATTGCACCACTGCACTCCAGCCTGTCAAAAGAGCGAGGCTCCATTTCAAACAATAAAAATAAATAAAAATAATAATAACAAAAAAGGAAAGTATGGCTTGGAGAGACTTATACATGGCTACCCACAGACGACAGGACACCTCATGACTTTCAGACCAGCAGTCCCTAACCTTTTTTGGCACCAGGGATTGGTTTCCTGGGGGTGGGAGAGATGGTTTTGGGATGAAACTGTTCCACCTCAGAGCATCAGGCATTATATTCGCATTAGGAGCATGCAACCTAGATCCCTCGCATACGAAGTTCACGAGAGGGTTCACAGTCCTAAGAGAATCTAACGCTGCCACTGATGTGACAGGAAACCGAGCTCAGGCAGTAATGCTCACCTGCACACTGCTCACCTCTCGCTGTGAGGTCCAGTTCCTAGCAGGCCATGGACCTGTACCAGTCTGCAGCCTGGGAGTTGGGCAGCCCTGCTTTAGAGCATCTCCTTCTATTTAATCCTGGCAGGTTGTGCCTGCTTTCTAAAGCCTACTTTGTCAGCTCCAGCCCTTCCCTCCTCCAATTCACTGCAGTTATTGACACCTTTTGCTTCTGGTTCAGCCTCTCCCAGCCCTTAAGCTAGTTCCGGCCAGAGCAGAGAGAATAGCAGCTTCCTTGGGAAAGGTTTTAGAATTCACTCTGATAATGCTGGGACTTGGAATGAGCCTAGATGGATGCTGCTGGCTCAGGACAAGGGACTAGTCTTGTAGCTGAAGAATTCCTCTGGGTCACAGCTGTGGTAGGCATCCCAGGCTGGCTTGTGTTCCTGACTCCCTCATTTGCCCTCTAACTTTCTAATTCCTCTGTCTCCCAGTTGTTCCCTGGCTTCTTCTTACAGTGAAGTAATAGCCACTGCCTGGACCCATCTGTTACTGTCTTCAGTTCCCTTGGATTTGGCATGCCTAGTAGAACCAAGAACGACATCACACAGGATCCCTCCCAGGAACCAGCCTTGCAGATGGGCATAACTATTCCAGCTGACCACTGGCTTCGCCTCACTTCCCTAGACCCACCAGCGTTCCAATATGTTTCTCATTAAGAGCTCCTGAAAATATTAAATACTGGAAGGAGCAATGGAAAATAAGATGGCCTCACTATTTAGTTCCAGATTGGTGGAAATCTTTGTCCTAGATGTCCATATTCTCGATTTGCATTACTTTTTCAAGTTTGCAAAACGAACAAAAACAAGAGGGCACTTAAAATGTAATGGTTTAGGCTAATAAGGCATCAGATATTAATCATCTGAGGAAAAATATTGTCTAGAAATCAAATTTTCACATATAAATACATAATTATGAAGGGAAATGTGAAGACTTGTTAAGGAAAATGTAGACTTTCTTAGACTTGTTAAAAAAATGTAGAGTGAAAAACTGGTTTCATGTCTTAGTTTGAAATTGATCATGAAAATTAAGATGATTACAGTTATAATCCCTCAGCATAAACTCCAGATCTTTTATATAAGTTAATATATAATATAAAATGTTTAATACCACTTGTTCTTGTTCCTGTTCCAGAACATTCTGTAGTAGTTTCTGCTTGGTACTAAATTCTTGATGTAGGCTTTCCCATTTTATTCTCATCTGGTCTTCAGCGGATGACTTCTCCCCTTCCATCCCCAACTCCTGGGATAACACATCAGGTTTTTCGCTATTAGAAGAATAAATAGTCTAAGTTTACAATGTGCACAAAAAAGTGATAAGACAGGCAACTTATTGTCTGTACCAGACCTGGCTTCTCAAAGGAAGCAAGATTACCTTAGTTATTAGCTTACACTTTGAAAATAACAAAAATATTTAGGCTGGTCAAAGCAACTACATTCTTATTCATTGATAACTAAACCATGTGCAGAAGAAATACTTAAAATACACTGAATAAAAATAATTGCAACATTTAGAATCAAAAATTACCGCATGATTACAGACTAGCATCTTTTGACAAATAGCAGAAAAGTTAGTTTAAAACTTTAAAAATGTGTTAGTCTAGGGAGAGTTATGACTATGAATCCAGAGAAAATACAGGACACAGGAGGGCGGTGCAGGACACAGGAGGGTAGAACAGAACATGGAGGGATAGCAAAGGACCTGGGAGGAAGTACAGGACACAGAGGGATAGTACAGGACCTGGGGAGGAAATACAGGACACGGACGGATAGT